TTCCCTGTCCCAACAGCTCCTGCACTGCCCTGGATGCCCTCTCTGGGCATCTCCCCTTACTGGGGTTCTGTGTGACTCAGTATCCTTCCCTCAACACTTCCTCCAGGCTGTGACATGTATCACTCCCCCTCCCCCAGCACAAGATGCCCTCTCAGAACACTACTGCAGACAGAACAAACTGGTGGTTGTAAGGGGTGCTGCAGGAACCCTTACCACCCATAGGGGCACTCAGGGACCTGCCCTATCATTCCCACAAGGAATTTCCCGCCTCCGGAACAGTCCTCCTTCCCCAGCCCGCCTTTCCTGCCCTTCAGCCTCCTGTCCCAACCTCAGCTGGAAGGGGAGAACGGAGAGATGGGGGGCCACCTGCCCGGTTCCCTCTCAGCCCCACCCCCAACACGCCAACACCATGGGGATCTTGCCCAAGACCAGGAGGCCTGGGGAATCTGATGGAAACAGCTCCTCTCCTGGAAGTGCCCCCCCACGCTGAACAACGCGAGAATGTGTGCCATTCCAGGGGGCTTCCTCACCTCCACTGGAGGCCAAGTTAAGAACTTGGCTGTGACTATCAGAACAGTAAAAATCACCAGGGCGGGAGGCCAGACCCAGATAAAGCCGGCTACAGAGACAGTGTTGCTGCCAAGAACAAGCAGCGGCAGCTGTGAAGTATCCCTGAGTGTCCCTGCTGGAAGCTTCCCCGCACCCAGACCAGCAGAAACTGCCGTCAGGAACCAGAGCCACGTGAACAGAAGACCCCCTTTGGCCTGGGACCTTGGCCTCCTTTCCCGTCCAGGTGCATAACTTCTCAGCGGGTTCTGGACTGGATTCTCCGCATCCGTCTTAACTTTGTGTTGCCAGGGAAACGGGACCTGGGTCCCCCTGAAAGGGTCTAGACGACCCTTGCCCGGACCCCTGGCATGTGGCCGACTGGGCCCGCAGCCAACAGAGACTGCTTCTTTTCGATGCCATCCACCCCCTCTGTGCCCCCAGACCCTTCCTTGGTCTGGGAGCCGTGCAATGGTTCTGAAGGTGTGCGGGCTGCCTCGCTGCAGCGAGCCCCTAAACCTGGCTTTGTGGGCACAGGTCCGTGCCTGAGCGACCCAGGCTCGTCGGGCCACGTGTGCACACGTCCATATGTGTGCGAGGGAAAGGGAAGAGAATAGGGAAGAGAAGGCGACACATCCTTAAAGACAGTGACCATGAGCACTTTCCCCCAGCTCCTGTGTCCTGGGGTTAGACCAGACGCACACACCCCTGCCACCCCTGAACAGGACAGTGGGGATCCAGGGGGCCCAGGGAGGGACCCTGATGCAGGAGGGAAGCAGGGAAACCCCCCTGGGTTGCAGTCTCTATAGGGGAGTCGGTGAGGATGCTGGAGATGGGGACTTGGAACAGCCGGGAATTCTGGGAAACTCCCCAGGAGGAAGGGAAGTGGATGCAGCCGGCAGAGGCCCACGTGCTGAACCCCTGGGACTCTCGGTCCCTCCCTGCCGACCCGCTCCCCGCCTGAATGAAGCCAGACTCCGTCCCTCAGCATCTGGACACGAGCACAACGTTCACGTCTGCTGGGGGCAGGCGGGGGCGGCGTGCCCGGGGCCCTCCCCCATCCCCCCACCCCGCCTCCACCCTACTTGGTAGGGCCCCTCCTCTGTGGCAGCACTTCCTCTCTGAGTTTTGCGACCTACCACTCGTCCCTTGAAACTGACACGGTGGGGGGGGGGGGTTGGCAGGGCAGGAGTGGGATGGTTGCTAAGACAGGGGTCCCGCCGGCACACCCCGCGCCCCACAGAAGCCAGGCCTTGTCCTGCCCTTGGTTCCCCACGACGCTGCAGCCAGTATGAAGCTGGCTGCTCGTGATGGCGTTCTACTCCGGACCTGCCAACACACGTTCGTACCTTCTGATCACTGTTTAATAAAAAAACGCTTTAGTCACGCACGAAGGATCTCAAAGGCACGTTCTCCGTCAGTATCTCTCTGGGCCCGTTCTGCCAAGATGGGCTGAGCCAATTTAGCCAGGGGCCCCTGAGCGGGGCCTGCACAGTCCCCTTTTCACTCCTGCCTGCCAGGGACTGTGTGTGTGCGTCGCCAACGTCTGGTTCCCTGCCGCGCCACATGGCATCGCACGGCAGGCTCGGCCCAGGGCGGCCCAGAGGAGGGTTTCAAGCATGGACGACGGGTGCCTGGACGTCCGTGATGACCCTCCCGCCGGGCACTTCCCCACATGCCCTGGTGCCTCAGAAAAGTCTCCGTTTTGTAACAGGAGCAGACAGCGGCGCCTGGGTGGCCGTCAATTGAGCGTCCGCCTCTTGGTTTCAGCTCAAGTCGTGGTCTCAGGGTTGTGGATCGAGCCCCACGTTGGGCTCATGTTGGGCACAGCGCACAGCCTGCTTGGGATTCTCTCTCTGTCCCTCTCCTTTTGCCCCTCCCCAACCCGTGCACGCTCTCTCAAAATAAATAATAAATAAGCATTAAAAAAATAAAGGCGTGCCCGGGTGGCTCAGTTGGTTGAGTGTCCAGCTTTGGCTCAGGTCATGGTTTCATGGTTCATGAGTTCAAGCCCCGTGTCAGGCTCTGTGCTGACAGCTCAGAGCCTGGAGCCTGTT